AGTGGCCTTCCCTTCTTATGCAGGAAGCTTCTGGGCTGGGATCTACTGAAAAGGTCCTGCTGGGTTGACTGGCTTTTTTCTCACTAGCCTCTGCAAAAGCAAAGTTATTCCTTTGAAGTTTAAACATGGCCAGGTGCTGCCTTCAGACTCTGTCAGCTATTTGACAGATGTGACCTGCTGCCTGAGGGGGAAACAGAGAGAATGCCCAAGGTTGGAAAAGGATCTGGAAGGAGAATTGGAAGGACAGGCCCTCCATTTTGAGCCTGAACTGTTCCTGCCACAGAAGCTAGGACAATACTCCCAGGCCTCTGTTCTGGGGGCCCCTTACTGTGGGTGGCTTCCTGAGTCATTCTCAGTGGGACCACTCAGGCTTGTGACTGCTTAGAAAAAGCTGGTTTGGCCTTTCCTAAGTGTTTTTCCAAGGGCAGACACATGGTCCCCAACCCCTGAACCTACCTCAGATAGGCAGAAGGTGGGCAGATCATGACACCTGCACATTTCTAGGTCTCTCGAGATGATGAAGATTTAGCTCAGCTCCTCACCCTTAGACAGTGCCACTACACTCTTTGATATTTTGGCATCTAGACGCCTTTCTCCCTGAGATGCCACCTCTGGGACATCTCTAATCTCTTCACAGGATAGAAGAACTGTAAAAGCCCATTCTCCAGTGGCCTTCCCTTCCAGGACAAGAACACAGAGACCCAGAAACTTACTTGTGGCAATGGCCCAGGACCTGGCAGTTGAACCGGGGTGTGAGTCCCAGTGCCCCCTGGGCTAGCCTAGGGCCCAGAGGGGACTAACCTAGGGCGGCAGCAACAGGGACTCCCAGGAACGGGTGGTGGGTCTCAAAGTCTTCCCAAGCAAAGTCATGTCATGGGACTCCAGGGAGCATGAGATGTTGTGATGGGTATCATTTTTTAAAAAAAATTTGTTTTATTATCTGTTTTTCTGAGTATCTCATGGCGAGACCCTTTCTTGCCCTTTCTCAGCCAGGGAGAGTCCCACTGGATTGCCCATCCTGGACAACAGGGTGGGGGTAACACAGGTCTGGCTATAAAGAACCCTCCTTACAATGTTCACTGGCACTACTGACTGAGAAAGAGAGGCTCTTCTCTCATGATCCTGGGCACTGAGGACCCCCAAAACCTGGAGATGCTGGGGGCTAACTTTGCCATAACACAGGAGGGAGGGACTGCCCAAGGAAGAATGAAGTGCAGCCACTTCTTTGAACTGCCAAGTGACCTCATGTGACGATCTCTTCCTGTGTTCTCTCCTCTCTCAGGAGCTTGGGGCTCTCTTCCTTCTCTCCCTAAGGTATAGTATAGGTGAATGTTTGTGTCCCCCTAAAACTCATATATTGAGATTCTAACCCCCAAAGTGATGGCATTAGGAGGTTGGGGTCTCTGAGAGTGGAGCCCTCTCAGTGGGATTAGACCTTTATAATAGGGAAGCCCCCACCCCCAGAAGCCCTCTTACTCTCTTTCTTCTGTGTGGGGATTCAGCCTGCTGTTCAGCAGAGGGCCCTCACCAGAACCCAACTGGGCTGGAACTCTGATTTGGATTTCCAGCCTCCAGAACTATCAGAAAGAAATGTCTGTCGTTCACACCCTCCAGTCAGTGGAATTTAGATGATTTAGATAGCTGTTGTCTGCTTACAGTAGGGAAGTTGACATCCATGTTCTTCCTGGTAGGAACACTGACAGTTAAATCTGTTACTAATTGTGATGGAAAAGGAAAGAAATTTCACTTAAATCTGGATCCGATACTGGGTCATTATCTCATTTAAGCCCCAGAGACACCAGCAACAGTTTTTGGCCCCAGGAGTGGTCTTTAAATTGCCCATGATGACTGCCTTTGACAGGCCAGCCCCCCAAATCCCCCAGGAATTGGATGGAACCTATCAGGTCCTGCATTAGCAGCAGGGATGACTACTCTGTGCCCGCCAGGTGCCCATGTTCACGTTTTCTACTCCTGACTGTGTCTGTCATTTGTCTGCATTTTTAAAAAAATTGTTTTGCTCAGATTTTTGTTGTTCTGTTTTTTTTTTTTTAAACAATTAACTGTTTCCCAGGGCTGGTTTGGAGAACTGCACTGCTTCTGGTGCAGAATGTGCTCATTTGCCAGCTCTGGGCTTCAGGGTAATCCTTTCGCCTGAATAACTGGCGGCTGACTGTGGCCAAGCCCGGGTGGAGCTGACCCCAGCGATGGCTGGACGCCAGCCAGGCCTTGCCCTGTCACACACAAACAGCTCTCCCGAAGCCCCTCCACTACAGGCAACAGAAAACAAAGGCCAGGGGGCAAAGTTAATTTATTTGAAAAAAAAATTTTTTAAAACAAAACAAAAACTTTATTGTTAAAAAGAAAAAAAGACAACCATTTGCATTTGGGAAGTTTCGCGTTCTGGAAGCCACTGTGCCAGGTTTGTGAGCAAGCCTCAAGACATCCTGATGAGGTGGATGAGGTGACCTGCCACCATCCTCAGAGCAGGACTGACCCTGGCCACCACACTGCATCTGCTCCAGAACCTGAAACTTGGCTCTAATACCCAACTCCTGTGCTCCTCAGGGCCTATTCAACGTGTCTTTTTCCCTCCCATCTCTTCTTTCTCTGCCTTTTGCTTTCACTCGAAGCTCACACTTTCACCTCTGCATCTCCACCCACCAACTTCCAACAAACAACTTCCTCTGACAGGCAATTCACATCCCTCGTCTCCTTCAAAATCCACCCCCAAGTCCCTCTCTTCCAGGGAGAACTAGTGGTCTCCCTTTGCTCCAGTTCATCTCCACAGAGCGTACCTGGCTTGAGGTACACTAGGGATCAGAGGCTGGGCTCTAGGCCTGGTCTTCTGCATGTTGGCTGTGATAGTCTTGGGTACAGGGTAAGCATCCCTTATCTGAAAATCCAAGAGCTGAAATGCTCCAAACTCCAAAATGTCTTGAATGATGACATGTTGCCATGAGTGGAAAATTCCACAGCATGAAACTTCATTTCATGCACATGATTATTAAAAATATGGGATAAATTACCTTCAAACTGTGTGCATAAGGTATTTATGAAATAGAAATGAATTATCTGTGTACACTTGGGTCCCCTACCCAAGATAACTCATTATGTATATGCGGATATTCCAATAATGAGGAAAAAAATCCAAAATCCAAACACTTCTGGCACCAAGCATTTTGGATAAGGGATACTCAACCTGTATTTTCTTATTTTTTGCAGTCTTAGTTATCCTGCATTAACAGAATGTACTATGCAGCAATAGAGGCTAACGCGTTCTAAAAAGTATATAAATGCTACAGAGTGCGAACAGGGTTTCCTGAGCACTGTCACCCTCAGCTCATGCCACTTCCACCTGCTGAAGGCAGCACTGTGCTTTCAGCTGTTGGGTGCCACCTTGGTGAGGCATCCACCTTGGCACATGGTGAGTGGGGTTTTAGCATGGGGATGCAAGTCCCTGATTTTTACGTTTATTTGGTGAGCTCTCTAGCCCACAGCACCAGTTCAGGGCTGAGCACCAAGCAGGCACTCAGTCTAAAGTGTATTGCTTTGATTCAAGTTTCCTTGGGCAGAATCACTACTAACAATGTGACGGTGACACTGTGGCAGGGTGGTGGAAAAACCCAAGCCTCCTTGTTCATCTGCCTGAACATGACCTCCAGCTGAAGGGCAGTCCTACAGTCTGGCCAGGGGCCCTGGCACTAACCCAGAAGTCCCAGGGCTTAGGACCATCTGCTAAAGGATTTTACTTTCCCACTGGACTAAAAATCCCCACAGAATGGGTGGAAAACATGGCCTTGCTTTGGATGAACCAATCAGATGAGAACCACAATTTGACATGCAACCCACAATAAGGACACTGCCATGTTATAAATCCAGTGTGGGATCAACCCTGGAATACTTAGAGGGTCACACCAGTGACACACTGTCATAAGTGTGGGACCCTCACTCCCTGAGCTCATCACTACCCCAACAAATGGCCTTCTCCTTCAGCACCCTCCCTCCATGGGTGCCTAGAAAACCTCACAATCCCCCTTCAGAAGTCATCTCCTTTGTTCTTTGCATTGAAACCACCCTAGGTGGTTGTAGAAAACAAGATGACTTTACCCTTTCCCAAAAGCCTACCACACAAATGTTATTCAGAAAATACATCTGGATCCTACCCTGTTTCTAACATATCCCCCACCCTGGGGTACATACGATTCACATTACACTTGATGAAATTCATCTTCTTTTTAAAATAACCCAGCCCTTAGGGCTATGTCATTGCAAACACTATACTGTAAAGTCATTCACAATAGAAACAAAAGCAGTCACTACAGAACTAACTTGAGAACCACCCGGCTGACTCTTGCTTAGACAATCCCAACCTTCTAGTCACTCAAAGTGGGTTTGCCTCAGCCAGACTCATGGATGGGATTGGAAACAACATCCCAGGGGCATCTGCAGCCCTTGCTGACCCCAAAGCATGGAAAAGCTGGTGCTTTGCTTTACATCCATTCAGAGTAAAATACATAATCAATAAATAAGTTCTTCCAACGTGTGTTGCTTGGGAGTTTCTAGCTGTGTGTGGACGTAGCCTTCATGGTGCTCCCTAGAATTCTCAAATAGAAACTTGTTCTGAAAAGATCCAGAGGCTCTGCCCACCCCACTCCTAAAATCACCCTGGGTTGCCCTGAAGCAAGCAAAGAGGGAGATGGAATGGGGAGAGGACAGGATGACTCTGGTCGATGGCTGAAGAATTTGGCGAGAATCACAGCAACAATCCACTCTGCTGGATGGACCCCCTTTCAGCGAGCGAGGAATCATGTGTATATATATCTTTGGTTTCAAGCAACGTGGAGTCTTCGCCTTTGGAAGGGTGGATTAGAGGAGGGAGAGGCATGGACAGAGTCCTGGATAAAGGATGTCCATACAAAGCTCTCTTCTCCTCCAGTCACCTGGAAGCCAAGGTTTCTTCCTTCTCCATGCTCCTTGGGGGAAGAGCAGTGCTCAAGGCTTCAGCATCTGGGGCTGAAGTCCAGCTGCCTCAGCATCCCCTGTAGAGACCCTTGCAGCCTGCTCAGAGCCACTACCTCTGTGGAATAGAGAGAGGCTTCCAGGACACCATCCAGGCTCTCTAGAGTCTCCAGACCACTGGTCTGGGGCAGAGGGCAGCTCTTGGAGGAAGCCAGCAGGCGGAGAAGGTCCCGGAGGTTCTCCAGGTCATTAGATATTTGCATCACATTTTGGGAAGGCAGACTGGTGAGGATCTGTTGGTAGACTGCCAATGTCTGGTCCATTTTGGACAAACTCAGGACCGGGTGAAGCCCAGGAATGAAGTCCAAACCAGTGACCCTCTGCTTGGAGGACACCGACTGCTGTGTAGGAGGAAGAGGGAGGGCAAGTGCTCAGTAAGAGGGCGGAGCAACCATTCTGCACCACCCTCCACTGCCCCAGGAAAGTGGAGGCTCATTCTCTGGGTTGCCTCCTTTCCCCCTTCCTCACCTTCCTGGTCCAGGCATTTATTTCCTGGGCCCACGTGACAGTGAGTCTCTAAGACGGTTTCCTGGACTCATATCCAATCACCCTACCTTCTACTTCTGACTTATCTTCTCAGGTCATTCCTTTCTCCAAATAGGTTCTGTGAAGACCAGCCATGCCTTCCTATTTTTTTATTTAGTTGGGTTTCTTCCTAGACATCGTAGGTCCTCTATAAGTACTCCTTTCCCTGCTGCCCTCATTCTCTTTCACCCCAGCAGATTCCTCCCTCTCGTTCAGGTTCCCCCTTCTTAGGGGTCAAGGTTACAACCCATTCTTCTTCTCTGTGCCAATGGCTCTAGTTTCGAGGAGGGTCTCTCCCCATCCTGGTGACCCACAACTTGCTCTCGACACCACCCAAGTTGGGACACTCTTCACCTCTCATGTGCAACCTTGCTAATTGACTATTTTGAAAGAAGGAGACTTAAGGAATTTTCTCTATGAAATGACCAAGACTCTGTCTAATTCTGAGCTATCTCTGCTTCTGGCCTGACTGCCAGAAGCCACTTCTCCCTGACTACCAAGGCCACTGTTAAACACCCACCATGGCCAAAAGATATGGAAACCTCCAAATGGCTCCAGACAGGGGTGCTTGCACTTGCCTTAACTAGTTTGAGTCTTACAACAACCTGGAGGTGACTGCATGAGGTTCCCATTGTACAGATGATGAAAGACACCAAGGAACTCACTTAGGGTCTCGCAGATGGAGAACAGATGTGTGAAGATTCACACTTAGTCTTCCTATTCCAATATAGACTCATCTGGGAAACAGCTGAAGGCCTAGTCTATTGGACCCCAGAGAAAAGACCAGGGTGGACAGTGACAGCTGTTGACAATTACACAGAGGGCTGAATGTGAACAACCAAAATCCCACCTCATGTGGCCTTGAAAGCAGATGGGGAGAGGCTGCAACTGAAACTCTAAGAACCCTAGTTATAAGTACATCTGGAGACGGGGCAAGGCCCCACAGGGATGCTGCTAGTGTCTGGTCCCTGTCAACAAGATACAAGGACATATATGAGTTCCTCTGGTCCTGGGCACTAGGATTCAAAGAAAGGGAGTCAAGAAATAAGGAGAGGGAGGGAGGCAGAAACAGATGCAGAGAGGAGAGGAAGAGGGAGGGAGGAATTAAGGCTATCACTGCCAAAGTCTGAGGTCTGGGATTCCCCCCATGTTACAGTGAAAATAAACACAGGTGACCTCTTAGTACCAGAGAATCCTATAATGTTTTAATGAAACCACAGGGCAAAGTTAAATGCTCTTAAAGTGGTTTAGAATTAGAACCACTCATCCCTGAATCCCAGCAGGCAGAGGGGCCAAGAGAAACAACCAGAAAGAATGGGCATCCTGAGCTTTCAAATCTTCCTAACTTCTAGTAGGTGTCTGGCATTTAGAAGATGCTCAACAAATGTTTCTTGAACTATCTGGTTCCAGTCCCAGTAGGAGCCAGCTCTGGGCTGGCCACAGTTCTTCTTTGTCCCCCCTACCCTTCCCTACCGTGTGTGAAATGTCATTGATCCTGGTGACAATAGTCTTGATGAGGGTTTTGGTGTCATCCTGGACTTTTCGGATGGGCACAGCTTGAACATAAGACAGATAGGGCCAAAGCCACAGGAACTGGCACAGGCGTCCACAGCGCATTTTTCTCCCCAGGATGTGCTTCTTGGGCCTGCAAACAGAGAACCACACATTGCTAGAGCTGGTGTCTCAGAACACACGCACCTGCCCTGCTCCCAACCACATTGCCGGATGTGGGTGAAAATGAGATTTACTTTCTGCCCTGGCTACCGTCAAAGTCAAAGACAATTCATTATCTAGACCTTTATTAACGACATGCATCCCCTTGGGAAGACGATTATTGCCTAGTCAATAAAACCACAATGACGTGTCCTGAAGACCACAAGCGGAGAGCCCGGCTGTGATCCAATGGATGTGGAGCTTTAAGGGGACGAGAATAGACTGTTAAGTTCTGGTTTGAATCCAGTCCTTTACTCACTGTATAACTTTAGGCACATGGCCTAACCACTCAAAACTCCACCTTCATCCCTATAAAATACCTATTTCCAGGTTTTTATGAGGATCAAATTAGATAATGCATGTGAAAGAGCTGGAAGCGGTTGTGAGGCGTACTTTTTCACTACCCTATTATTAGAGATGATGTTACTGCCTTGTCCTCCCCATTACTCTCACAGCAGCCTGCTGTCATCTACGATGGCCTTTATTGCAAGCTTTATTACTTCCTTTCTCTCCTACTGGGAGCCTGGGAATCCACCCAGCACTGCTTTGCCATGTACTAACAAGTCAGATGCAGGGCGAGGCACCAAGGAATCAGGTGAACCACCGATGCCCTCTGCCCTGCAGTGTTTCATAGTTTAACAGAAGAGACAAAAAGTCTACAGGCCATTCCAGTACAGGAGTACAGAGCTTTGAAAGGGGAGCAAAAAAAAAATGTCAAGAGCCCAAAGGGTCCTCCCTGGGAGGGGTGTTGCCTTGGGCTGAGTATTAAAGACTGAGAAGGCATAAGAGTATAACCTGGTGGCCACAGGTGGCCAGGAGCTCAGCTGAGTAAAGACAGGGGCAGGATAGAATATGACTCCTTTACCCAGAATGCTTGAAACTTTCAAAGCCATGGAACTGTTAATTCTAAAATTAATAATATGCAGGTCCTTGATCAAGCAGCAGAGTTTTAATGGGATACATGAGGCAAAACGTAATCAAGTTAAATGCATGCAAGTCTATAGCCAATGATCCATGCTAAGTATGTGTGTATGAGCCTGAAATACTAATAAAATGTAAGTAAAAATTAGGATAAAGATTCTGGAAACATTAATCTCTGCTCTGTGCATTCTTTCTCATTGGGGTCTTGATGAAAACAAGTAATGCATTTTCTGTCCCTAGGTGGCAATATTAGTATAATTCATTTTCTAGCAATATAATAAAAACAGTCTTTACATATTATCTATAATACTCAAATATGTGTATTTTTTCCAAATCTGATTTTTCAGAAGAGAAAAAAATGAGGTTCAGGAAGACAAGACAACCTGCCCAAAGTCACATTGGTTAGTGGCAGAGCCAGGGTATTTATGGAACAGAGTTAAATACATGCCCCTTACCCATGATTTTGCTTTCCAAGGTTTAAGTTACCCACAATGAACCATGGTCCAAAAATATTAAATGGCAAATTCCAGAAATGAGCAATTCATAAGCTTTTAATTGTGCCATTCTGAGTGGTGTGGTGAAATTTTGCATTACTTCCTCCAACCCACCTGGGATGTGAATCATCCCTTTGTCCAGTGTACTCACACTGTATATGCTACCCACCCATTAGTCATTTAGTAGTGGTCTCAATTATCAGATCAACTGCCATAGTATCACAAATGTTTAACCACAATTTAATTAATAACAACCTAAATTGTAAAAGTAGTATGCCAAGGAGGCAAAAAAAAATATGGAAGGACAAATAAACTCTGGTACTGTGTGGCAGTGCTGCAGGGCATATAGAGAAAAACTTAGTAGTGTCTGCAGATTCAGGTAACTACTGGGAGTCTTGGACATATCCCCCACAGGTAAGTGGGGGACTGTGATAGTGCTAATCCTTAACACCCTCGCAAAAGGAGGAGGCTATAGTGGAGTCAGGCTTCCAGGTTTCAACAGCCCACTCCTCCACTATTCATTGTGTGTCTCCAGGTGAGAAATGTAACTTCCCAAAGCATCTGTTTCTGACAGAAAATGGAGTTAACTTCACCACCTGGCTCAAAAGGGTAAAAGAGATGAGCCAGTGATGCCCCTGCACACGGTGTGTGTCTGACTTGGGATGGGGCAGGAAATGCCAGCTGCCCCAAAATGATTGTAATTCCAGGACAGGGCTTGAACTACTGGGGCAATAGCACCTGTAGCCAACTCTGAATCAAGCATGTGGCCCATCTCAACAGGGGACCTGCTATTTCAGGGTTTCCCCCCTGTAGCACAAGATTGAGGTGCATTCTTTTCTAAGATTCCTGTGTTGATGACACCTCCTTCCTGAGTAAACTTATTACCAGATTAACCCTGGTCACATCACAGCCATTCTCACATGATGGCCACCCTCTCATACCTGAATGGAAAACAGGTTATAAGCCTCCCTTATCACCACTGGTAATATGCTTCAGTGAATGCTGAGAATAAATTGCAGTTTTCCTTGAATGGAGAGGAGGAGCTGTTGCTGAGGAGTCTGCCTAAGATGGGGGAACAGGCTCGGGAACAGCCAGGGGGCTGCAGAGCAAGTGATAACAGGTCATTGAGATCAGAGTGGTGGCAAGCACTCGTTGTGTTGTGCACAACACACAGCACACATAACCTTGCAGTGGAGGCTGCTGGTTGTCCCCAGTGTCTAGTTTTCCTTCTTTGCCAGTTGTAGAATCTACAAAGTGTAAACATAAGAATAAATCCTATACTTCCTGGCTTCCCCCAGTAGCCATGGCTATGAAGCTAAATTCTGGCCAATAAAATATAAGTAGAAGTGTCACATGACAGTGCTCAGGACCCCATTGTGTGTCTTTGCCTCTTCCTTTTTAATCCTTCCCATTTTGGGGGTGTGCGTACTGGGGATTGAACCCAGGGCCTCATCTATGTGAGGCAAGCACTTCACCACTGAGCCACATCTCAAGCCCTCTCCTTCCTTTGTTCTGATCCCTCATGTAGATGAGGGAGCCAGCATTCCAGCACCATCTTGGATCATAAGGACAAAGGTCTCCCTTATGAATGGCAGAGCAAGGAGCTGCAGGAGCCTTGGTTCCTGAGGACTTTGTGGAACTGGAATTCCATGCTGGCCTTGGACAACTTGTCTCTGGACTTGTGTGTGTGAGAGACATGACCTCTGCTATGTGTGAGTCACTGTTGAGTCTCTGCTGCATACACCCAAACTTCAGGCTAACCAACTTAGCGTACCCCAGTGTGGATATCATCAGGAAGGAGTGGACATCAAGTATTCCTAGGTTCACCTGAATCTCAGTACCTAGGGGGTGAGGGAGAGTGACTGGGAAGGGCAGGGTTTAGGAGAGAAGGGGAAATTCAAGATGGTGAATTCAGCTTCAATGAGCATGGTGCCTGAGGCACAACAATTACTCAAGATATATTTGATGGTTGGATGGTTGGCAGCTAACTCGTATTGATTTCCCATTGTAGGCGTATAGAGATGAAGATGACATTGACCATAGGAAAGCAGGAATCCAAAGATGGGGAGGTTCAAGCAGAGGCTGGGGGTTTTCCCAGGAAGCCCAGGTAGTGTATCACACCATAGGTAGTTATCACACTTTTGACTTTGCCAACTACTTTCATATATTATTGATTAACAATTTTAAAAACAAAACTGTGCTCTTCTGGTTTGAGAATTTGAATAATTAGTTGCAATGCAAAGAAGAACTGAAATTTATAAATCTACAGTTCAAAACTACTTTTGAGTCAGAATATATAGATTTTGCAGAAAGTTAGCTCATCTCTCTGAGATTCAGTCTCTTTAGTTATAAAATGGGGATGGCATCAATCATAATTCCCCCTGTGGCTGTTATGTGGCTGACATGAGATAATGCATATAAAGTGCTAACTCTGTGCCTGGCATGTTGCCAAACCCAATATTTGTTAGCTATTATCATTGCTATTTCAGAAGGAATTGCGGAGGTCTTGTGGAAGAGGTGGCATTTGCTAAGGGCCCTGAGAATAGGTGGAACTGGGTTTGTGAAGATGAAGGAGAAAGACAGTCCTGGCAGAGACTGAAAAACACCAGGCAGGGGGGGCGGCTAAGAAATGGGTGTCCCCAGCTGGCTCCAGAGGGTGACAGGGAGGAGGGGGCAGAGTGTTCTGGGATTGGGAAGGTGGTGAAAGCCAAGCAGGAAGGTTGCTCTTTCCTCCCCAGAACTGAGGAACAAATGTTTCAGCCCCAGGGACTAGAAAGATGGTACCAGATAGAAAGTGGGAGGGATACATGGAGAAGTTTGGGAAAAAGGAGATCTGGGACATGTTGATCTGCTGATACTGCTGGGACATCAGGTAGCCTCCACAGCAGCCCGGGGAACCCAAAATCTAAGCTTAGAACGGCTGTGGGTGTAACCACAGGAGCTGCACAGGAGTGAGTGAAGGGAGGGAGCTGAGGGATTCGGTGGGCAGGGAGAAAGGTCAACTGTGGGCCCTCTAGAATTTTCCAAAGTAGGCTTGAACATTCTGGAGCTGTCATATTATAAGAGATGGAAGATGAACTTCTGAAATGTTGAAATATAGCGCCCTGTTTACTTCTGGGGACAGTTAAAGCAGGACCTGTGCTCTTCTGGTTTGAGAATTCTGGAGAAAAGAGGGAGCGGTTCCCAGGAGGGCAGGGAGTGGATAGGCCAGGGTGGGTGATGGGCCTGCTCTCAGATATGGTCCTCCTTTCTGCCTCTCCCTCACCACCCACTCCTCTATCATACCCAGCTTTCTCACTAGCTAGCTTTCCTGCAGACTACCTTCCTTCTCCTTCCATTAAGGCCCTGTGACTCCCATTATCTCTACCACCTTGCCCTCCATGGTGCACTGGAGAAGAAAACAGAGCCCCAGGGACAGCACCAGAGGATGAAATATGAGCACAGTCAACAGGCTAGTGGCCAGCAGGAGGGGCTCATGACCACACCATCAGCCCACCAGTTTCCCCTTTCT